AAATGAAATATTAATTTCTATAATAATAAAATTAATATAAATTATAAATATTTTATTTCAATTCAAATTCGCGGTCAAATTGACGGCCGATATGTTGAGGGCAATGACTGTCCAGTTGTTTGACAGCCTTTTCCCAATTATCTGTCCGTCCATTCAATGTCTCGCATATATTGATGAATACGTGGACTTTATGTAAAGCGTATGTATTCTGCAAAACAGTGAATAAATAAAAATTAATGAATTTTTAACTTATAAATGTATAAATAATTAAATAAAATACTTTTGACAAATTAAAACACTTCTCATTGAAAGTGTCGACCATTTTTCGATAACACTCTCTGTTATAGAGCTCTCGGTTTGTATTAAGTATAACATTGGTCGCGATGTTTGGCATTAAGTGTTGAATACTATTCACGTATTCATACAATACTTTATCCACATATTCACGACCTCTAGTCAGACCATCCAATTGATCCTGATAACTATTAAGGGCATGATATGCATAAAAATTATAAAAATAATAGAATAGGCCAGGTCATTTGGAAATATATTTTACCGTTGCTTCTCATTAGTATCAACCGTAAGATCAATACGCTTTTGTGCCAAAAACACATATATATCTTGGTCAATGGTCAGATTGCATTTTTCAACAATTATATCTTGCTTGTAATCAGTGTCAAATTTACTTTTGAAATTAGGTCCTGATAATTTAAACATTTGCAAATTAGTTTACTTATAAAACATAGTTACAAAATATCTGACCCATAAACTGCGAAACTGTGCTCTTTTTGGCTATTGACAAATCACCATATTGTTGTGGGTGCTGGGTCGTATTAATACACCAGGTCTCATCGCCAGATTGAAATGGAAAATAAACATCAGGTCTGTCAGCGATGTACTGAAATTGTGTGTCCAGGGTCTCCACCTTAGGATCGTAGCGGTCGGCGTTTTGTGACCACAAATACGTAAAGTACCCAGCTATTAATTAATAATTAATANGTAGCGGTCGGCGTTTTGTGACCACAAATACGTAAAGTACCCAGCTATTAATTAATAATTAATATAATATTATTTAAACACATTTTCTAAGTGAATTAATATTTGAAATTATTTAAAAATATCGATATTTACCAAGAAAAGCTTGGCGTGGTCCAAAATCATATGTATATTGAGCAGCTAATTCATCGGGTTGCGATGCAGTCATGGCATAAATATTCCAGGTGTTTGGCAATTTGTTAGCTAACATTGATCCTATTTCGGAGTAACATAATTATTAATTTATTATAATAATAAAGTATATTGATTTAGCATTACCAGATTTACATGATTCTATGTATAACACAAGTTGATCATATTTATTTTGTTTGTAAAGTTCGCCAAGTGTATTAACAAGGTCAGTTGCGTGCAGTATTTCATTTGGAAAACCAAATATTTCTGTTTAAAAAAGTTATTTAATAAGTAGTTAAAATATAAATTAAAATTTTATTTAGTTATTTAACCTGTATCACCATGCGACATTAGGTACACAAATATACGATTTTTGGGATTACTTTTGACCACTTTCTTTCCCTGTTTAACTAACTCAGAATCACCGTTAAGTAGACCAAATAGGTTCTGGACAAATTAGATATTTAAATTATAATTATTTTAAACCAATGCTTTACTAGACCTTGGTGGTGACATCATTTCCAGTATAGTCTTTAGGAACCCCTTTGTAAACATTAGTGCCGTTAATAGCGTTGATTATAACCCCAGGGGTTGGGTTCTGTTTATCGTAGGCTATGTCGTCCGGATGCATGACTATTATGTGGTCATCGGGTATGCCCTGCGAGTGAACCAATTGGTACGCCTTGTATACATCCGACTATCATCCGGGTATAAATGATATTAATTTTGAACATTAGAGAGAGAGAGAGAGAGAGAGAAAGTTACCTGCGCACCATAACTAAACCAGCCACCCGACCCTGCTACCAATACAACCCAAATGTTTTCCGAGTCACCAGTGTCAAAATTGTTTCCAAATGGTACCGCATTAACTTTAAAATAAATTAATGATAAAATAAATAGCACTTTCATTTTAATAGCTTTTATAGTTATTAAATTAATTAATTATAAAAATTAAACTACAAATAAGTTTATTTTGTCATTATTACTGAAATGTAGATCTATTTATACATTTGTTTAAGCGATTCACCTTGATTATCATTAATGTACAGTTCTAATTGACCTTGTACAGTATTTGTGATAGGATTATACGAAAAGGTGACATGAACTCTGCTTACAATATGACTGTATAGCATTGAAACAATATTAACTTTGTTTTTATTTTATATTACTCATAGAGTTCATGTCACCTTTTCGTATAATCCTATCACATTTCACCATTGTTATGTCATCTGTCATCTGTGCACTAATGCACTTATGTTTTGATTGTTTTTATGAGTAATGTTTTTTATCTTGCTTAAATTAATTTCATATGTTATACCTTTTGTTTTGCTTTAATACTTTCCCATGCAATTGGTAATTATCTTATAAATCACCTTTATCAAGTAAAATTGAATGCGGACCTTCTACAATATTCAATGTACTGTATTTAATATTACAGCCTCCGCCTCCCTGTCCTCTTTAGCTCCTGTATCCATTTTCCCGTGACCTCCAGGTCCTCCCTGTGCCTCAATATTAATCCTTTCAGTGATAGTTATTACTGAAGACTCTGATTCTGGCTGAACAGCACCAGTAGTTTTAGATGGGGTGTCAGGGTCTCCGTGACGGCTATTAGTGTGTGCTTCGGAATGTACGTCGAAAGTAGGGTTTACTATAATTGTAGTCATAGACAACAGTAGTAGGTATAAGATAATTTATCTAGCTTGATTATTTTAAAATGTACATTATATGTACAGTGTATGACATACCAATTGAACCACCCACCACAAATAATAAATAAATGATGGCAATTATAATTATTGTGGTCACTGTTTAATCATATAAAATGTTTAGTTAGCTTGAGGTGAATGGGTTCATAGAATTACTTAAGGTTCAATCTATTTGTACGACTGTCCAAAAGTGCCGGCAATTCCTATATTAATGATAGTGAACGGTATTTTCGGTATATTTAACTGGCATTCAGGCAAAAGTAAAATCACCGGTGATATTAAATCCAAGATATTTTCTGCAATCATTGAAGTCATTGTCTGGATATTTAAGATAATCAGCGCATGTACTGGAATCGGATGTACGTCCAGATCATATTAATATTAAAATTATTTTTCTGATTGATTTAAAATTTCTATTGTTAATACAGTGATAACCCTGGTCTATTTGGCTCGCTTTCCAGAGTTTGAAAATACCGAGTCTATTGACTACTGTAACCCTACTTTATATTTATTCATATACTGGTCGTGTAACATAGGGCTAGCATTCATTTGTATAATTGTGACCATTGGCATTTGTATTTGTTGTAACAAGTGCATTTCTAAATGTAAAATGTAGATTTATTTTAATATACCAGTTAGATATTCAGTACAATATTTTAAATACTCTTTCTATTAATATAGAATTAAACTATGATTTATATTATTAATTATCATGGGCAAAATGGTTAAGGGCATCTGAATGTCATAAAAATACTTTAGTAAATAATACTGTATTAAAATATATTTAATTAATAATAAAAATTTATTTTACAATATCCTGTATTTCCACATATTTCTCAATTACATATCATATGAATTTATGCGACGATATACTAATTATAAAACATTTGAATTTCAGATTTTGTTAAATTGAGTCAAAAAAGTAAAATTGATACAAATATCAAAAACATCATTAAATGATAATGAACGTAAAACTTATATTACTTGTGTTGATTATAGCAGCAAGCTTGATGAAAGGTATAATTTATATTTTTACATAATATGTTAATGTCTTGCGTTTTTTAGTAAAATTGTAGTTATAACATAATTACAGTTTATATACCAATTATAACATAATATATTTAATCCACTACCAAGGTCACTCAGTTAAAGATGGTTGTTATCAAGATTGTATGACTCCTTGTAAGAAAGGGTGCAAGGTTGTAAAAATTGTATCACTGAATAAATCAAACCCCACCCCCAGCTTAAACCTCCTATAATACAAGCGCTAATAATGTGTTTTATTGTAATTTAAAATGTATCTCAAAATTTAATAGTTTTGTTATAAAAATTAATTAATAAATTTGTTGTAATTTTATATAACTTATAACTAAATATTTATAAATATAGCAGCATTGTTACAATTCAATAATTTCAAATAATAGTATTTCTTAATGAAATTATATTCATTTACTTTTAAACATAATCTGATTTGAATTAATAAATACAATAAACAGTATGTATTGCATGATATATCCGTTTAAAAGTGTATTAATTGTATACTTATTTCATTATAGATATGGCACTAATGAATCAATTGCTCAACATTTATCATATTAATATTTTTATTTGTTTTTATAGTATTTATATATACGGTATTAATCAATTCACAGTACTTTAAGGTACGGTCTGTACCTAATATACGTTTTAAAATCAATTTTAATTTTATGTAATATTTTATATTATTTTTAGAAAACCGTCTCAATTATTATTTTATGAATATCCTGTATTCACATTGATAAGTGTTTTCATAGTTGCAAATAAAACAACATTTTCTCCATGGTCAGTGATAGTTAAGTGTAGTTAAGTGTAATAAGTGTAATTATGTTGTAATAACACAATATTAAATACAGTACATTGGGGTGTGACTAAAAACCCAACATTTAAAAAACCAACAGAAATAAAACCAATAAATTAAAAACCAACAAATTTTAAAACCAACATTTTGAAAAACTAAAATTTTATAAAACCTACATAATATAAAATAATATAATAAATGAAATAATATAATATATAATAGGTTTTTTAATTTGTTGGTTTTTTCAAAATGTTGGTTTTTTAAATTTGTTGGTTTTATTTCTGTTGATTTTTTAAATGTTGGGTTTTTAGTCACACCCGTACATTGGATATTGTAGAAGGTCCGCATTCAATTTTAATATTCAAGGATTAATATTAAGGCACAGGGAGGACCTGGAGGTCACGGGAAAATGGATACAGGAGCTAAAGAGGACAGGGAGGCGGAGGAGAGAAAGCTAAGGGAAGATGTGAAGAAGGGTTTGGATAAAGAGTTGTCTCAAAAATTGAGTCAACAGATCGCCAAACAGGAAACATCGGGGACAGTCACCCGCTTAATACTGTTGATGAGGGCGCCGATGGAAAGCCGATAGGAGAGCATGGATTAGGAGGACTGGAAGGGAATGGTGTTCATGAGGGATAAGTTGATCATTAACAATAAAATTGTATTTGAAAATAGTTTTGAGCCAGTACACTCTGAATTTGGATATGCACAGTTATACTTATTAAATATCAATGGCTTATTGAACTTCATATAAAATAAAGAGCAGGCACATTTAAAGTATTTGTCATATTATCACGTGTATTAAATTACAAATAAATTATTCTTACACCAAGTGTTTATCATTTTAAAATTTTTATAGATATACCAAATGCACCCACCATTTTACAAAAGACCTCCAATTTAAAGTATTTGTCATATTATCACGTGTATTAAATTACAAATAAATTATTCTTACACCAAGTGTTTATCATTTTAAAATTTTTATAGATATACCAAATGCACCCACCATTTTACAAAAGACCTCCCAGTTTAACGAGATTAAGCATATTTGAAACATTTGAATCTACTACTGTATAACATGACTAATATATTTTAAAATAATATTGTGTTTTTAATTGTAATAATTATATTCGTAATACTATTTTTAAAAGTAAATGTAGTTGAACGATGCACCAGAAAGTACATATTTAGGTAAACGACTTACCGGTAAATGTAGGGGGTATATTTTTCTTTTAATGTGCAATATATTTATTTAAACTGTTAAAGGTAAATATTGTTGTAATAACACAATATTAAATACAGTACATTGGATATTGTACAATTTTACAATTTTACAATGATAAAGGTGATTTATAAGATAATTATCAATTGCATGGGAAAGTATTAAAGCAAAACAAAAGGTATAACATATGAAATTAATTTAAGCAAGATAAAAAACATTACTCATGAAAACAATCAAAACATAAGTGCATTAGTGCTCTGACAGATGACATAACAATGGTGAAATACTGTACAAGGTCAATTAGAACTGTACATTAATGATAATCAAGCTGAAACAAATGTATAAATAGATCTACATTTCAGTAATAATGACAAAATAAACTTATTTGTAGTTTAATTTTTATAATTAATTAATTTAATAACTATAAAAGCTTTTAAAATGAAAGTGCTATTTATTTTATCATTAATTTATTTTAAAGTTAATGCGGTACCATTTGGAAACAATTTTGACACTGGTGACTTGGAAAACATTTGGGTTGTATTGGTAGCAGGGTCGGGTGACTGGTTTAATTATGGTGTGCAGGTAACTCTCTCTCTCTCTCTCTCTCTCTCTCCCTCTAATGTTCAAAATTAATATCATTTATACCCTGATGATAGTCGGATGTATACCACGCGTACCAATTGGTTCACTCGCAGGGCATACCCGATGACCACATAATAGTCATGCATCCGGACGACATAGCCTACGATAAACACAACCCAACCCCTGGGGTTATAATCAACGCTCTTAACGGTACTAATGTTTACGAAGGGGTTCCTAAAGACTATACTGGAAATGATGTCACCACCAAGGTCTAGAAACGCATTGGTTTAAAATAATTATAATTTAAATATCTAATTTGTCCAGAACCTATTTGGTCTACTTAGCGGTGATTCTGAGTTAGTTAAACAGGGAAAGAAAGTGATCAAAAGTAATCCCAAAAATCGTATATTCGTGTACCTAATGTCGCATGGTGAAACAGGTTAAATAACTATAAAAAACTTTTAATTTATATTTTCACCACTTATCACATAATTTTTTAAACAGAAATATTTGTTTTTCCGAATGAAATACTATACGCTACTGACCTTGTTAATACACTTGGCGAACTTTACAAACAAAATAAATATGATCAACTTGTGTTATACATAGAATCGTGTAAATCTGGTAATGCTAAATCAATATACTTTATTATTATAATAAATTAATAATTATGTTACCCTAAAATAGGATCAATGTTAGCTAACAAATTGCCAAACACCTGGAACATTTATGCCATGACTGCATCGCAACCCGATGAATATGCTGCTCAATATATATTATTATAATAAATTAATAATTATGTTACTCCAAAATAGGATCAATGTTAGCTAACAAATTGCCAAACACCTGGAACATTTATGCCATGACTGCATCGCAACCCGATGAATATGCTGCTCAATATACATATGATTTTGGACCACGCCAAGCTTTTCTTGGTAAATATCGATATTTTTAAATAATTTCAAATATTAATTCACTTAGAAAATGTGTTTAAATAATATTATATTAATTATTAATTAATAGCTGGGTACTTTACGTATTTGTGGTCACAAAACGCCGACCGCTACGATCCTAAGGTGGAGACCCTGGACACACAATTTCAGTACATCGCTGACAGACCTGATGTTTATTTATTAATTATTAATTAATAGCTGGGTACTTTACGTATTTGTGGTCACAAAACGCCGACCGCTACGATCCTAAGGTGGAGACCCTGGACACACAATTTCAGTACATCGCTGACAGACCTGATGTTTATTTGCCATTTCAATCTGGCGATGAGACCTGGTGTATGAATATGACCCAGCACCCACAACAATATGGTGATTTGTCAATAGCCAAAAAGGGCACAGTTTCGCAGTTTATGGGTCAGATATTTTGTAACTATGTTTTATAAGTAAACTAATTTGCAAATGTTTAAATTATCAGGACCTAATTTCAAAAGTAAATTTGACACTGATAACAAGCAAGATATAATTCTTGAAAAATGCAATCTGACCATTGACCAAGATATACATGTGTTTTTGGCACAAAAGCGTATTGATCTTACGGTTGATACTATTGAGAAGCAACGGTAAAATATATTTCCAAATGACCTGGCCTATTCTATTATTTATATAATTTTTATGCATATCATGCCCTTAATAGTTATCAGGATCAATTGGATGGTCTGACTAGAGGTCGTGAATATGTGGATAAAGTATTGTATGAATACGTGAATAGTATTCTCAAAAGTAAATTTGACACTGATAACAAGCAAGATATAATTCTTGAAAAATGCAATCTGACCATTGACCAAGATATACATGTGTTTTTGGCACAAAAGCGTATTGATCTTACGGTTGATACTATTGA